AGAAGAGAGGAGGAACGGACATATCCTAGGCGCTGGCGGTCTGGGCCTGCGTAGTCCCCAGCCTACTCAGTGAGGCTGAGGCGTGGGAATCGCTTGACACCCGGGAGCGGAAGGGTTGCAAGTGAGCTGAGATTGCTGCCACTGCCCACCCTCCAGCCTGGGCAAACACAGCAAGACTCCATCTCACAAAAAATATATACATTTTAAAATGTATCAGTTTACAACTTCTAACAGAGTGTAATGGTAGAGCATAACTATAGTAAACAAAAATGCCTTTGGGTCTCTTTTCTAGAGTATACAAGGGATCCTATGACTACAAAACTTGAAAAACTACTACTAGAGAATATTTGTCAATCAGGTCAGATCGTTGATGCATGAGCATTACGGGGAGGAACCAGAGCGGACTGGGAAATCATGCAGCCTAATAATTGCTTGATTCACTTGGCCGGGCATAGGGCGTGGCTCACGGATGTAATCCCAGCACTTGTGTGAGGCCAAGGTGGGCAGCATCACCTGAGGTCAGGAGTTCCAGACCAGCCTGACCACATGGTGAAACCCCATCTCTACACAAATTAGAAAATTAGTCCAGGCATGTACCGCAGGTCCCTGTAATCCAGCTACCGGAGGCCTGAGGCAGAAGATTGCTTGAACCCGGGAGGCAGAGGTTGTAACGAGCCGAGATCGCGCCACTGCAACCTCCAGCCTGGGTGACAAGAGCGGACTCCGTCTCAAGAGAAATAATTGATGAAACTTTTCAAATATACTGGATTTCATATATATATATTTCATATATATATACGAAAAATATATACATATGTATTTCATATATGTATATTTTTTCCTGTTAACAGGCTGGTCTTGAACTCCTGACCTCAGGTGATCTGCCCACCTTGGCCTCCCAAAGTGCTGGGATTACAGCCGTGAGCCACCATGCCCGGCCAAGAATTCAGCAATTATTAGCTGCATGACTTTCAGTCCCTCTGGTCCAAGACTGACCTATTACAAATATTCTCTAGTAGTAGTTTTCAAGTTTTGTAGTCATAGGATCCCTTTATACTCTTAGAAAGAGGACCCCAAAGCATTTTTGTTTATATAGGTTATCTCTACCAAGTACACCGTGTTAGAAGTTAAAACTGATAAATTTTAAAATGTATATATTTTTTTGAGATGGAGTCTTGCTGTGTTGCCCAGGCTGGAGTGCAGTGGCACAATCTCAGCTCACTGCAACCTCCGCCTCCCGGGTTCAAGCGATTCCCACGCCTCAGCCTCCTGAGTAGCTGGGACTACAGGCAACCGCCACCATGCCCGTCTAATTTTTTGTATTTTTTGTAGAAACGGTGCTTCACCGGATGGTCTCGCTCTCCTGACCTTGTGATCCTCCCATCTCAGCCTCCCAAAGTGCTGGGATTACAGGCGTGAGCCACTGCACCTGGCTGACATTTAAAAATATTTTTACTTTGAAATAATAAATCCATAATATCTGAACATAAGTGACATATTTTGTGAAAATATCTCTATATCTCTGTTTTCAAAACAGGTGACAAGAGTGAGTGACATTGAGTTATATTTTTACAAATCTCTTTATTATCTGGCTTAATAGAAGATGACTGGCTTCTGCATTCAATCTGTTGCCATACATTGTTTTGATTGAAGTATATAAAGAAAAACTGGCCTTACACAGACATGTAGTTGGAAATGGGAGGAGTATTTTGATAGCCTTTTCAGATAATTGTGGACATTCTTTAATAATATCCTCATATTGACAAATGGTAGTTGCTTTAAGGGTTACAGTGACAAATGACAAACGGTAGTTTCTTTAAAGGTTAGTAAAAATTGGAATCTGAAACCACATGGATGAATTTTTCCTACTCTGTTACCTTAAAATCTACTTTACACATGTTGGATTTTGTAACATTACGTATTGGTCACTTAGAAAATACTATTCACAGAGTGGTGTAGATCTTCCAAATGTTGACACTTTTTTTTTTTTTTTTTTGAGACATGGTCTTACTCCTCTCACCCTGGCTGGTGTGCAGTAGTGCAATCATGGCTCACTGGAGCTTCGACTTCCCAGGTTCAGGTGATTCTCCCACCTTGGCCTCCCGAATAGCTGGGACTACAGGTGCACGCCACCATGCCCGGCTGATTTTTTGTATTTTTATAGAGACAGGACTTTGCCATGTTGCACAGGCTGGTCTTGAACATCTGGGCTCAAGCAGTCTGCCCACCGCAGCCTTCCAAAGTTCTAGGATTACAGGTGTGAGCCACTGTGCCGGCTGGTACATTTTCTAATACAATATCAAAAAAAAAAAAAACCTTTGTTAACATCAACATCATTGTAATCAGGAAAGTCTAGCTATAAGGAATCATGTCAAGTTCACAGGGACAGGTACAAGTTTTCGTATGGCTAATCTTCAACAAATACCATTACTTGTTTTCCTTGAAGTGACAGGCTTTTGTTTTTTGAGAAAATGTCTGCTAAATACCCAAATTTGAATAATTACAGCATTTCAAATAAAAATGGTGTTTTGTGAAGAAAGCAGCTGGCTCAGCTCATAGCTGCAACAGTTGCACAAGCGCTTTTCTTGAGAGAACCACTGAGTGTGTTTCAGTGTGCAGCAGAAGGGAGAATAGAAAACTACCTATCCTCTGGCCAGGCACGGTGTCTCACACCTGTAATTCCAGCACTTTGGGAGGCCAAGGCAGGATGATCACTTGAGCCTAGGAGTTTGAGACCAGTATGGGCAACATGGCAAAACCCCATTTCTACCAAAACACATATAAAAATTAGCCAGGCATGGTGGCGCACACCTGTAATCCCAGCTACTCTGGAGGCTGAGGTTGGAGGATCACTTGAGCCTTGGAGGTGGATATTGCAGTGAGCTGAGATTGCACCACTGCACTCCAGCCTAGGCCAAGAACCAGAACCTGTCTAAAAAAAAAGTTTGCAACCTTTTCATGTAATGGAAATTTCTTTATCTTGATTTTGGTGTTGGTTACATGGCTATAAATTTGTCAAAATTCATAGAATCGTATACCTAAAAAAGGACAAAATTTACTGTAAGTTTTACCAACAAATCTGATCACTGCCCCCTGCTTCCCTCACAAAATGTCAGTGATGTTACAGCAATATTTCTGAAATAATTGATGAAACTTTTCAAATATACTGGATTTCATATATATATATTTCATATATATATACGAAAAATATATACATATGTATTTCATATATAGATGGAGTCTCACTCTGTTGCCCAGGCTGGAGGGCAGTGGCGTGCTCTCGGCTCACTGCAACCCTTGCCACTGGGTTCAAGTGATTTTCTTGCCTCAGCCTCCCAAGTAGCTGGGATTACAGGCATGTGCCACCTCGCCCAGCTAAATTTTGTATTTTTAGTAGAGACGAGGTTTCACAATGTTGGCCAGGCTGGTCTTGAACTCCTGACCTCAAATGATCCACCCACCTCAGCCTCCCAAAATATAGGGATTACAAGTGTGAGCCACTGCACCCAGCCTGATAACACTTTTCTATACGAGTAACTTATAGAATCAGATTTTTAATACAATGAAATATGCTCTGTGTTAGCAGTCAGATGCCTTCTAGAATTTTATTTTGTGTTTATATATAAAATATGTTTTTTGTTTTTGTTTGTTTGTTTTTGTAAAGACAGAGTCTCACTCTGTTACCTGGGCTAGAGTGCGGTGGTATGATCACAGCTCACTGTAATCTGAACTCCTGGGCTCAAATGATCCTTCTGTCTCAGCCTCCCAAGTAGCGGGGATCACAGACACATGCCAATACACGTAGCTAATAAAATGTTTTTTTTTGTAGAGACAGGATCTCACAATGTTGCCTAGGCTGGTCTTGTAAAATCTCATTTTATGTTAATAGCATTTTATATATTTAATATCATTTAATTTCTTCTGACCTCCTGTTTTCTATGACCCTTTTGGTTGACAAGTATATAATGTCCTCACAACTGCTTTGAGCACTTTGTGAGGGGAGACTATAATATGAATTTACAGAGCTGATTATTGTCATAATAATTTTATAGAAGGTTCCATTCCATTGTTTTATAATAGAATAAGCAATACACACAGTGCAACAGATTTCTGTTTAGATCTTTATGGATGCTTCTTTGAACTCTCTACATGTTTACTATGTCACCCCTGAGCCTGCTGTGGTGCACAGTAAAGAATGTATCTACTGGCCGGGTGCGGTGGCTCAAGCCTGTAATCGCAGCACTTTGGGAGGCCGAGATGGGCGGATCACGAGGTCAGCAGATCGAGACCATCCTGGCTAACCTGGTGAAACCCCGTCTCTACTAAAAAATACAAAAAACTAGCCGGGTGAGGTGGCGGGCGCCTGTAGTCCCAGCTACTCGGGAGGCTGAGGCAGGAGAATGGCGTAAACCTGGGAGGCGGAGCTTGCAGTGAGCCGAGATCCGGCCACTGCACTCCAGCCTGGGCGACAGAGCGAGACGGAATGAAAGAATGTATCTACTGAGGACATGTTTTTAAAAATTATGCAGATTTTAAAATGTTTCTTGTCAAACTGGATGTAGCATGAGGGAGATGTTAGTATGGACTATTTTCCCATCCATCAGATAATCTCTCTGTGGTGGGTTGAGAGTGAATCTGCAGAGAGAGAAAGCATACATTAGGTAGGGTGCAAGCTGACCTAAGCACAGCTCGCAGGAAGGACACTGACTTGTCCTAAGGGAGGTCCATTCTTTAGCCTGGTGCTGATGTGAGGCGTAACCGGACTTTCTCTGCCAGGGGCTCTGTAACTCCCAGCTGGTGTTGGAGGAGCCGTCTTCCATTGTGCAGCTGGATTATAGCCAGAAAGTGCTGCTGGTCTCTACTCTGCAAAGAAGTCTGCTGTTTTACACTGAAGAGAAGTCTGTAAGGCAAATTGGAACACAACCAAGGAAAAGGTAAGTTCCGTAAGTTTTCCTGTTTGGCCTAAATGCTGGGCCTTGTTGTAGAGGGTGCTTTAGGGTTTCCTAGGTCTCCTCTTTGCCAGACGCAAGCCCACAGTGGCTCTAAGCCTGGGGTTCCTGGTGGCGCCCTGTGCCTGCTTAGGATTTCTCCTCCCAGAGGCGGACAAGAAGAATGGGTTCCTCTTGTTGCAGAGCTGTAGGAGCCTGCACGCACAGCCACTCTGCCTCTCAAAGTGCCACGGTCGGCCCGGAGAAGCCTCAGGGGTGGCCTGGTCCATCCATTCTTGTGTAGGCACCTCCTCCACACAGCCTGGTGAGGGCTTAGGGTCGTGGGGCTCACTCGTTATTCAGCACGTGTTTACCATGCACCCCTGTGCACTGTGGCAGGCTCAGCAGTGACATGGTAAACACGGCAGATCTGAGCCTTCCGTTGTGGAAATGGAAACGTAGATAAAACACTTGTTGACCATTGCGGCAGCTGCTGTGGACCAAAATACACAGGATGCTGTGTGAGTGTAGACACACTTGTCCAGCTGAAGGGTCAGGGAAGACATCCTGAAGGCGTGGGTTCCAGGTTCCAGGTTCTAGCTGGGATTACCGGCATGTGCCACCACACCCAGCTAATTTTGTATTTTTAGTAGAGATGGGGTTTCACCATGTTGGTCAGGCTGGTCTCAAACTCCCGACCTCAGGTGATCCACC